ATTGCATGGTTTCATAAGAAAACAGTCAAATGAACAAACAAACAAATCGACTGATATATTGTAAGATGCAGGCCTAGACATTTAGTTTATTCACATTCGAAAGTCATCAATAGAAATCAAACTGACATTACCATGGAAAGAAACCAAAAATTAATAAAAAGACAATCAACTGCACATATGGTAAAAAGCTCCTTCTCAATAATTGTTTTAATAAATATAATACTTCATTTTGATTAAAAACATCTATCCTTATTAACTTACAGTTGTATTATATTCCTTCTGGCATTTACATATTGAACGGTGGACATGAGTCGAATGATTCGAAATGAACAGATTTGCCTTGAGATACATGTAGGCGATTTCTAATTTCTCAAACAGATAACGGAAGCATTTATTTTTAAAAGAACATCGATGTTTTACCGGTCAATAAACTAAAAAACGTACGATATTATACATGTTATACTGAACATCCCATTTTATCCCGTTTAACCGTACATTTGAAGAGGGAACATGATGACACAAAATGACAAGGTTAGTATCACTGCAATGTATTTGATGTTGGCGGTTCATTTTCACATCTAAATGTAATTTTTATGGAAAGATTTCATTAAATTTATAAAAAAATGCTTATCAAATAAGTTGTTTTAATAAATGTTAATTATATTTAAAACGTCTATCACATCAATTGTCAGATTTAAATTTGACATTTAATTTCTAAGAACTGAATATTGATCACAAATGATTAAAAAACACTTGATATAAATCAACTATGCTCGAACAGCTGATTTGGACAGATCATTATAATTTATATCCGTCAAAACAGATACATCACTGTTTTCAGACATATAACACTTCCTTGGTCATCAAATATCAGTCCCTATGAACTTACATTGGTACTTGTATACCTTTCTTCGAAAAAAAACAGGTTCACCCTAAGAAACACGTGGGTTGACTTTCTGATTTGTCAACATATTACGGAAGCATATATTCGAATAAGACATCGATGTTTAATAGTTAAACCGTAGGATTCAGGAGAAGGTCAACACACTAAAAAACATATGATATCATAGTGAACATTTCATTTTTCATAAATCTGAAGAGAGTTCATGATGGCACAAAATTATAAGGTTAGTTTTAATGTATTGATTTTGTTGTTGGCTGTTCATTTTCATGACAGAACTTCGATTACAATTGCAAAAGTGTATCACCACTATGTCTTATTGCAGTACTGTAAGCTTGTGAAGAATTTCCCTTTTTCAATAGTCTAAATTATGAATGATCAACAAACGGTACTTAAAGTTTAGACCATATTTGGACGAAAACTTATTTTAGATGCCTTTGTGATGAGGAGCTATTGCTGTGATAAAAGTACCAACATTTCAAAATATTCCCTCCTGTAAATAAATGTAGCATGCAATTGAGGGTTCTGCCCTTTCACTAACTCATTTAAAATCAGAGGAATGTCGTATATATTTATTCCTGTTTATGGCGTTCTAGTATTATATTCACTGCAAGAATGGAGTTCATGATTATATTGCAATGAAAGTATCAAGTTTCTTCAACAATTTAAACAAAAAATCCGATACATTGGTATCCTAACAATAGTGAGAAATATATTTCTCAACATAATGTATTACTTTATTTTTTTCATTTCTGTGGTTACATTTTTACTTCGAAGTGTGTAAAATTTTATAGATATTCTAAATGTTTAAACAAAAACAAAAAAGATGCAAAACTAACTTTTAAAAAGCCTGCTCTCTGGTGGTAGAAGTCCTTTTGCTTTTTTATAACATTTTTCAAATCTTTAAATAAAGTTTTTTTTTGCCGTAACGCACACGGCTATGATAAAAACAAAAGGTTTTTGTATTGTTTGAAGTGATCAGAAGAAAATTTGTTTTACATTTTGGGGGAAATTTCAATACACAAAATGTAGTAGCACTTTCCAAAAATGTGCTTGCTTTAAACGCATTTTCTTCTGAAGGCAAGAAAATCATGATTTTTTTTTACTTTGAAATAATACCAAATTGATTTGTAATCGTTTAACTTGATCATTTAATGACTTTTGATTGCAGAAAATGGTCAGATAATTATGTTGCTACCAATTAATTAATAATGTTTAAATTCCAGAAACACATCTTTCAGTGCACATTGAATTCTTTTTAAACAGCCAAACATATAATTGGGGCTGGTATAGCTATACGGTATGGGTTTGTCTCATGGTTGATGTCGTACGGTTGCTTATAATTGCTTACATCCATTTCAATTAATATTGGTGGATATTTGTCTCATTAGCAATCATACCATATCTTATATGATCATGTAACCCAATACTTAATTTGCTGAGCAGTATTATGTTGAATGCATTTTAATTCATTGCGTCGATAAATTGCTTTAAAAACTTAAATATCACATACTTTTATGTTCTCTTTTTCAGCTTATATTTATAGTACTGATCGTGGATTTCCTTCCACTATGTGTAAGCTTAGTATTTCAAAATGCTGAAGAAGAACGGCCAAATTTGTTAGTAATTGAAGACGATGCCTGAGGTAAATGCGTTACTAATAAACAGATGTCTTTGAAAATGTATAATTCCTATCAATGTCAGTATTGGTGACTTCAACATACTCATATATTATAAATATTGTACATTTAACATGCTAAAGAAGTAGTATTTCCGCGCCTTTTAATACTCTTAACTAATTATCACTGTTCTGTCGAAAGAAATATAACAAAAACAACAAAACAACAAAAGAACTACCCGTCTTGCTTTGATAGAGTACAAAAAACAAAAACAAATGCGGAACCATGTAAACTCTGTATTGCAATTATACATTTTTATAACATATTGATATTTCTATATCATGTATATTGCAATTTACTTTTGTTGCACACTTGTTTTTTTTTAATTCGGACAACTTTGAAATAAAACAGTAAACCATAAGCAAAATAAAATATACAAAAAGTTTTAAACACTTGTTCATTGTTTCATATTCGGAGCGCCATTAAAAATGATTTTTTATTTGTTTCATGAATTCAAATTTTAACTGCAATGTGCTTATCAAATACTTGAAATATCGACAACACGTAAAAAAATGTAAACCACACATAATAATGTCAATACAAAAATTCCAACTGAACACAACACTTTTGGTCGTTGTAATATTACCAGTAAATGCATTGATGTTTTAAACATACCAGTTCTTTGAAAAATATTTTAAACGTGACTGCTGAGCTGATCACAATAGAACATAAGAATATTCTAAAGATCACACGTACATGTATGATGCATATAGATTTGAATGTGAAATCTGACACTTGACGATATACATTTATCATCCGTGATACCGGTAACGCCATTCAAGATGACTTAACACAACCAATCTTATGTTTGAACTTTTTTCATCTGGTGTTGAAAGAACACTATACTAAGTAGTTATCAATTATAATCATTGGTTATTTGTATTACATTTACTCATCTTTTATTTCAAAATCCATTGCAGAAACTGGTATAGGAAACGTTTTTGGAAACGGCTTTGGATCTATTTTTTCCCTACTTTGTTTTCCAATCTTTGATTACGGTACCTATGATGGCTATGATGGGAATGATGAGTCCTAGTACAACAACTAGTGTCAGTCAGGTAACTTTGACTCCAACAATGCAAGCCTTATCAACAACGCAAACCTCATCAACAACACATAGTGAGTATTATTGACAAAATCATTTAGCTTATGTTAAGATATAACAAATGTCGGTATTCCCCTCTTGTTACCTTAATATCGCAACGGCCTCGATCTATATGTAGTATGAAGTAGTCCTTCAGTGATGTATGCACCTGTCTGTGATTCATATAGCAACAATTTTCTAGTGCGTCTATCAGAAACATTGAATAACTAAGCTATAGATGTCATAATTACATTGTCAATCTATAATGTTACCAATACATTTGGATGTGTATATCCACCTTTCTTTGAAGCAAGCTTTACCGTGTCTAGAAAAAAAGCACTTTTGTGTTGATATGTCTTTAATTTGTTATGCTTTATGTTGTTTACAGTTGTATACTGTGGTTATGTTTTATGTTTTTCCCCCGTTATACTGCCATGTCATTATGAGTTGGGTTTCAACTTATAAGTTGGAATATTCCTAATGATTGGTTGTTGGTTGCTTAACGTCCAGTGGCAAATATTCCATGCATGTTCAGGACGAACGATACCTTTTGAAGATTTTGCCTCTCTTTTACAATGGCCTACATGTAAATTATTGTTTTAAAACATTCACTTTTTATTTTTTTTAGTACATTCCAATGGAAGGTAGTGATAAACTGAAAATAAACTCTACTTAATAAACCGAGTTCTTTTTCTTTTTTTTTATGAAAAGTATATGTTTGCATGTGTGTTTGTGTGTGGGCGAGGGATGGGGATGGGGGTAGGTGATCGGTTTGGAGGGGACATTTAAGATAGAATATGCATTTTGAACAACTTATTACACAGACAAGACACATTTAATAAAACATCGGTCAATAAATGTTTGGTTATTTGTGTCGTTGATTACGGTCTCATTTACGTTAACACTCCATCCCAGAGTTCTTATATTCATATTTCATCATTTTGTTTTAATAGAAACATAAAATGATACATATCGATAATACTACATGTGCACGATCTATTTGTGGACAGAACGTTAATTCAATATTTGCTTACTTTTCCGGAGCACCTGAGATTACCCCGGTTTTTGGTGTTGCACAGTCTTTAATATTATTTATTGTGTTTTGTAGACTGTTGCTTGTTTTTTGCAATTTGTTGTATAAATTAGCTCTTTTTCTCTCTGATGACATGTCTTTGGCAGTTTATTTTCAATTTATGATACCTCCGCCTCTTTTGTAATGCTTTTGCATTTAGAATTATTCAAAACATTGTGTTGAATGTGGTTACTTTATCTTCATTTATGTTTTTCCATTGTTTTAATTCTTTGAACTCCAACGTTGTCATATTTATAGCACCATGTATTCCAACAAATTGCCCTAATGGTTATGTGTTGCTTACTGACCAAAATGCTAGCCCTAATTGTTACCTGTATAGTGGAAATACTGAGAAATCATGGTATAACGCTTGGGTGAGTAATGTTTAAAATAGAAACAATTTAAACTCTTTATTTCGTAACATATTGATATCATATAATTTCAAATAAGTCCATTATTACTTTGTTTTGTAGAAAGAACTTTTCGAAAATTATCCTTTGACAATTTTTCTTTTTGCAACGAGACAGAGTAAACTGACATCGCGTCTCCTCTTATGCATACGTTACCCCTTATGCAAAGCCATACTTAGTCAAAATGGCACAAGTATGAATCTGACACAATGGTTGACATAACAGATTCAAAGAATATTCTGGTATTTGAATATTTAAAACTATAAGCTAAAGATCTAAATATACCGTAGCGGTAAACAAATACATTGTTGTACGTAATGGTGACCATAACTAAAGTCAACAGAAGTAAACCGGTGTTCAATAGTCATAAACCGATTAACCGAAAACAAATCAAGGGTCACAAAACGAAACCGAGGTTATAAAACGCATGTAGTGGCGATTTAAGTAGCTTATTCCTTGAAACAATTTATGTAACGAATCTAATAAAATCAGAGTAGTATGAACATACACGAGAACAACCAATTAATTCTGATGAGTATCCTCCTTAAGAATGACCAAGTGGTATGCTACTGCTAAGATAGGGAATATTGATTATTGGGGTATTAAAATCATCACGTTTATGAAAGATTCTAGTTTTAAATCGTTGAAGAAGGCTTCATATCCGAACAAAAAATAGATATGCAGTAGACCTTCTAGTCTCGACAACTTTTTTTTTTTATCTCAAGTTCACTGAGATAAGTGATAAGATAAGATTTGGGTTATTGAGTAACAAGACAGCATGAACATAACGAAAGTTGAATTAAGAACATTGAAGTTTAGTTTTATGTTAACTGAATTGTCTGGGTAATAATAGTAACCAATAACTAAAAAACAATTATTTTTTTCATCGTATAAGCAGAGGTTCAAGTTGAACATATTGTAGATTATAAAGCTTAAGACAAAATAAAAGTCAAATGGTTTTCTTATATGATGCAAAAACAAATTAAAACAGACATACATTCATATTAATATATCATGCTACTTATAAAAATAGGTAGTTGAAATAATGATTCACATTAGAGATGTCTTCTTTTTGCAACATTAGAGGACATGTGCCATGACTCCTGGAGCTTTCCTGTGGAACCCAAACAGTGAGGCGGAAGCCAATTCCGTACAGACTAAACTTATGCTTGGTAAGTTAAGAGTGAAATATCAATGATAATTCTTTATCGATGAAAATATACAGTTGATTGCAGACCAAGCATTACATATAGAAGCACGAAAAATATCACGCGGCATTTACTCGGGTGCACTTCATGTAAACACCGCGTTAACTCTGCGTTTACTCCAAAATTGTAGTAGACATCAAACGTAAATGGGCGTTTCTTTCAACGTTTACCTCCGCGTTAAGGCGAAAGGAGTGCCTTGTAATTTTGTTAATAGTAAACGGGCTTTTTTCCGAGATAACATGAAACAGGTGCGTCTTCTATATTTTTATAAAGTTAAAAGATATAAGAATATGTGGTTTGTGTGCCATCATTTTCAACTGCATGGTGGCTTTCAATAAATACTGGCCCAATGTTAGGACAATGACAGGATCAAAATGAAAATGCCAATAACTTTTTCTTATCACAGGATTTATCTCAGATTTGATGTGTTTAAGCTTTTGATTTTACCATTTTAATAGAGAGTTTCCGCTTTGAATTTTCCTCGGAGACCAGTGTTTTTGTGATTTTACTTTTGACATTGAAAAAAAGGAATTATTTAGATGATTCTTTTGATAAAAAGTACTTCCTTAAATGTCTGCAGGAATGAACAGGTTTATCAAAATCGTCATTTTACATGGTATATATAACATGTATAATGTTGATCAACTATATCATTTATAAATTCAGTGGACAATGAATTACGGCAAATATTTTGAAATTAGTGGATTGTCTGAAAACAATGTTTCAAAGATCATATTATGTCGTCTGTTGTATTTCAAGTCTTGTAACATAGCCTACTAGTTAAATTTACAATAATGAGTATTGTTGCAATTGTTAACATATAAAACTTTCTTTTTTTTTGAAATTTTTTAGTTTTTAGTTTTATTTCTAAAAATATTTTTTTAAAGATACTAATCATTTACATTATATAAATAAGCAAGAAAAGGGTATATTTTATTCCACAAATAGTTAACTAGAATAGAAATGGTGTTGTCGGTATTTGTTCGATTCAAAATCCTTTTTTCTACAGAAGTTTTAATTTACTTTGATATAAACTACCTTCTGAAGTTACTAACCTTAACATGCTTAATATCATTCTTTTAGAAAACGAGAAATGCTGTGGGTTGGTGGCAAAAAAGACATTAATGGAAAGTTTGTATTTAAAATTGGCAATACTGGATTTGTATTGGATCAGGTACCATTTGGAGGTAACTTAAAATTTTAGATAATTACAATGAATATATATTTATATTACTATGAGCTCTTCTAAATCAACTTGCTGCTATTTTTGTCTTTTATGGTATTCATAACAATTTATATTGGGAACACCATACCACACAGGTGTGGGAAATGTACAGATATGTGTTGGTAATAACATTCAGAAATTATTGCGAGGTTTTTCTTTAATGTGAATTTTGCGACTGGGTAACCATCGCAATAATTAGAACTCGCCGATTTGACACACACAATAGTATGCAGTGTTTCTTTTAAGAGCCAATCCGCCAGAAAACCATGCAATATTCAGAAAATCGTCCAAATCGACAATCACAACTTGACAAATTTTTATACGTCATCTTAATCCTTGACATAAAATAAAAGAATTTGACCACTTAGTTTTTCCCAGAATCGTATCTATTTTTAGTAACAGCCTCATTTGCATAATTCTGTAAATTCATTATGAAACCAAGGAAAAATTCCAACATTTTATGCCTTTTAAGAATGACCCAGAAGCATATTAAATGGGGTAGTTGAGTTTTTAGAGTAATGTCAGCTGAAACTCATCCATTTTACTATGTTATGATCAATACAAATGAAAATTTAAACGATTTGGCACATTGCCAGGAGCAGGGAGACAAAGGCGGGGTTTTTCATACATGAATTTACGTGGTTTTCATTCGCTTCTATCTTGCAAGACCCATTCCGGATTTGTTTGCAACTTATATCGGTTTTAACTATGGGGTATGTTTTATATCAAAACAAAATATTAAGCTTGGCAAATGACTATTATATGTTAATTTATGCCTTGGAAGAATGGTGATTTTAGTCCCAAATTGACACATTTTAATTTTGATTTTAATTAAATTCTAAACACAATTGGTACTAAAATAGCTCATAAAATCATTCGAACAAGTAAATTCAATTTGTCTAAAAAATGAAATAAGACGTATTTGTACTGCAAGTCCAAAAATCAATAAATTGTCTGAAACCAGGGAGTCCATCTTTTATGCTCTTCCATTGACTTATCTCCCTTGGGTAAGATCTCAAACATGTCAGCTCCCAGTGATGGTTTGGCAGACAAATGTTTACAGTGAAGTTTGTGACTTTAATAATCTAGGATGAGCATGTGGGCTATCCCAGCCTTATACATCTACATATTACAAACTATGTAAGATATCTGAATGCACTAAAGACCAAAATAGCATTTCCAAAAAAAATAAATACTGCCAAGAAATTTGACAATAATGACAATAATTTAGTGAATAAACATGATAAATATTGATTGGAAAAATAAGTCCATGAACAGCAAAAAGTGTTTTTAGATTTCAACGAGCAAAACAAAAGTATTCTAAATCATTCTTCGTAAAAAAAAAAGTGAGCGAGTGGAACCACCTTGCTCGCACCAAAATTGAGATTGAGAGTGTCAAAACTACTCTGGCGCACCATCAATAAATCAACGACACTCTCTCTACCGTGGTATTGAAACCAGCATTGGTAACCAAACATATTCATACAGATACAGACTACCATTCATCTACATTTAGGAAGTCTGAATAATACTGAAAACTACATTTTTATGGTGTAGAATTTCCAACAGGACTCCTTATTTTATATAAGACAAGGAGTGGTTTATTTTCCCATGGTTGTTACATCATCTTGTCTTTGAATATGCTCAAAGTACAGGGACTTTTATGGAATTCATTGACATGATAGTCAAGCAAGATGTCAACATCTCGTCCAACCCTCTTCCAGCAAAGCCAAAGCTGACCAAGGATCTTCACCCTTTCAAAACAGGCTGTATACAGGACGAGTTATTCCAGTAGGAACAGGTACAAATCTTACAATCAATTTTCATTTGTTCCATATAGTCAATCTGAAATTAGGGGACCAACAATTGATACATTAGCTAGATTAAAAAAAGGGGGGGGGGGTGGGTGTTGATGGGGCATGTGAATATTCTTTTACACCTGACCTGTTTCTAAGACATCTTATTTATTTCCTATGGCAAAGTGCAAGCAAATAATATATATCCGTATATACATTGTTCTGTCTTGGGACCATTTGATTAAAAAAGCAAGGGGGAGGGTTAGTATGGTCAAAATATTTATGTCCTTGTCAGCTTAGGACAGAATTTTAATTTTCAAGCTATTAACCAGGGTACAATATATATTTATTTTCTGCTTTAAAAAAATCAATTTATAGACCAGAATCATGATAATAATCAAAATCTATTTCAACATATTCAACGTTTAGCAGGTCAGGTTTTTATTCTCATCCCCTACATGTAAGTTATATTTTCAGTTCTTACTGGAAGTTGTTCAGCTCTTTGTCTACTAAAAAAACTTTTATCTCGTGGAAAAGCCTCCTACAAATACATGTTTTACATACAACATACTGTACATGTAACACTAGACAACTTTATCCAGAGAATAATATTTTTTTAATGAACTAATAGGCCATGGAGACTAAAAAAATCAAAAGCATTGCAAACTTTTGTAAAGTTCAATTTTAGGACCCTACATGTACATGTATGTAGATTACTTATAGAGCCCTTTTTAAAAGAAAAAACCTACATTTAAACTACATGCACAGTGATGCTACACTACCCTACATTTCCTGTCTGATATATTTTATTTCATGTAAAACAAAATTGAAGAATTATTTTATAGTTTAACACTTTTTATTTGTAGGGCTATATTTATGCAAGCAATGCTTAACTAAGATGAATTTTTGTAAAAGTGACAATAGCCAGGTCAAACTAAATACACATGATACATGTATAGAAGAAGATATTGGTAAGTTATTATTAACTTATATATTAATTTAACTGTTTGTATAACATGGTAATCATACAAAGTATATGTAATCACTTATATAATAACATAATTATACAATTACATGTTATACATTTGTACATCAGTTTTATTAAACAGGTCTTTGTTAACTTGGTTTTCCCATTGAAAAATCACTTTGCTAATTTTAATTTGTAGTACTATATTGGGCGGCTCCTATAGTTTCCATTCAATAACTAACAATGACTAATGAACTGTTCATACATTCCATTTCAATTATTTTATTTATTAATACGTATTACTTTTACTGTTAAGTCTGTTTTTTGTGATATCCATTTTACTTGACTCTGTATTTATGTATCCCGTCATACTTTGAACGACAAAATTATTTTATGTCTACCTGTGCGAATTTCAAACGCGCGATTTTACGCCAGTACTTAAAACCTTCCATCCTTTATGGGTGGATTTTACATAGATATATAAAATCGTATAATATAAGCAAAATGAGGATGTTAAATTTGATGTATGCCTTTTTGTGCTTCTTCGTTACATTTGTTTGTTTTTATGGTGATTAAGATGATAACACAATGTTGACTGCTGTACCCCTATTTTTGACAATTTTACCTATTGTGTCTGTTTGTTTTGTTCATGCATCGTTGTCAATATAATAGAATTTGATGCGACTGTCATACAAGTGAGAGGTTTGTTATCTTGCTATAAAACCAGGTTCAATCCACCATTTTCTACATAAGAAAATGCCTGTACCAAGTCGGGAATATGACAGTTGTTATCCATTTGTTTGATGTGTTTGAACTTTTGATTTTGCCATTCGATTGGGGACTTTCCTTTTTGAATTTTCCTCGGAGTTCAGTATTTTTGTGATTTTACTTTTTCAAATATAAAAGGGGGAGATTTTTATTGGTACAATGTACTTTTGAAGATATTTCACCTGTTCGATTAATTGATTGATTGTTGGTAATGCTAATGTCCAATGGCAAATAGTTCATGCATGTTTAGGACAAGAACAAATTAAAATAAATACATTATTTGGGTTCTTAATATGCTAAATCTAACAATGTATTTAAATAATTTAAGATGTTGCAATTGGGCCCCATTTTAAATTGGTTCACATTGATTTCAAAATGGTCCAATTTTTTTTTTTCTTATTTCTACACAACTTGAATTCTTGAGGTTCTTTTGATATACAAAATGCAAATGTTTTATATTTAGATTTTTAATTTTGGTCCGGTTTTCAAATTTGTCCACATTTTGAAGTCCAAAGGGTCCAAATTTTAACTTAGTTTAATTTTAACAAAACTTGAACTCTCCTTACAATGAATTAGGGTTCTTTGAATGATAAATAGAAATAATCAAATATTCTGAATATAAATATGTACTTAGATTTATGATTTTGGTTTTCAAGTTGGTTCAAATGGGGTCCATAAGTTAACTGTGTTTGATTTCAACAATAATTTTAAAGATGCTGATTCAGCCTGAATCTAACCTGTATTTAGTTTTTGGCCCCTATTATGAAATTGGTTTACATTGAGATCCAAAGGGTCCAAAATTAAACTAAATTTTAAATCTTAATTTGATATTGGGGTTCTCTAATATGCTGAATCTATTAAACTTTATCGTTATACCATATTTATTCTGTGTTAGAAACCTATTCTTTGTCAAATATTTAATCCCATTACAAATTTAGAGCTGTTATAGCTTGAATGTTCTGTCCAAACTTGCATTTTTTCTCCATCTTCCACAAAATTTGTCCTTTTCTGAGATAACTGGTGTTATCTTTTTAAATGAAACTTTAGTGTAAAGAAAAGCACAATATGTGGATGATTATCTGATGTCAAACATTTTCAAGATGGCCACCAAGGATTTCAACACTGGTTAATTTAATGAAAATTGTTAATTAGGGATAGTCGTGGTAGTTTGACTTGCTAAACAAAGTAAGGTTGTTTTTTCTTCCAAAATGGCAAACATTTTCAAGATGGCCTTATATGAAAATTGACATTAAGAAATTACAGAACTTTTGACATGCCAACAAAACAATGAAATTTTTTTTTAAAGATGGACACAGCAAATAAAGGGTTAAATTTTCAATTTTGTTGAGTTTGATTTTAAAGAATATTGATATATTGATATTCAGCTGTACTTTGACACAGAGAACAGATATAAAGATGGCCACCATTTCA